AAATAGTGTTTCATCAGGCTCAAGGCAAACCACAGGAAATGAAAAGATGGTTGACTTGATAACTGTCTGGCACACTTTGTGGATGAGGGGTGAGATTCATAATTTTTTCCAGTAGCCCTTGCCTATCAGCTGACGAAATGAGGCCCTGAGGCTTTGGCTTCACGGCAGACTGAAGTACAGCAGAGCGATGCGACGGATTTGATGGAACAATTACTTTCTTTTCAATTCAATTCAGTTTATATCTATAGCGCCAATTCACAACACATGTCATCTCAAGGCACTTTACAGTTCAGCAGATCATACAGTCAAATTGATTGAAAGTTTTCTGTCTTAGGAAAACCAGTTGATTGCATCGACTCATTGATTAAATGGCAATCCCTCAGACTAAGCATGATTAGCGACAGTGGAGAGGAAAAACACCCTTTTAACAGGAAGAAACCTCCAGCAGAACCAGGCCTACTGGGCTTCAAAAAGACAGAAGCAGAAACCTGTAGAATATAAACATTGCATAACAGTCTATATAATGTCCACATGCTGCTTTCCTTTGGTTCATATAAGCCAGGAATAAGATCCCAGATAGGAGAGGATTACATTGTTGGTAAAGCCAGAAAAGGTCATCCTTCTGCAGCGAAAGCAGGACAAGGAAAGTAGAAGTATTACTGTGAATTAAAGCAGCTGAAGCAAGCTTGAAGCTAAAGTTGCACTTGCAGCACATCTGCCACAAATGGCAGCGTAAATAGAGCTGAGCTAGTATCTCATCACCCTCCATCACACACGCGTTCAGTATCCCCGAGATCCTTTTTTTTTCCTTACTGTTTTTTTTTTTTTTTTTTAAACCCACACGTCTAAAAAGACCACCTGAATGTCGCCTCTCTTTGCACCTCAAACATGCCACAACGCTCTGCTGTCCTCCAGTCGCCACAGTGTAACGTACCCCTCACACACAGAGACAAAAAGAAGTAGTATCGCCATGGAAACTAGACTTTTACAGCAAGAGAAAGAAAGAACTCAGAAGGTTCTAGATTTACAGGGTCCTTCTCCTTTACAGCTCTCATGTTTTTTTCATGTCTGTTCTCTCTGAAATGTATTTTTACCTTGCTGTTATGTTTCTGTAGTCATGGTATCTCAACTGCATTAGTTTTCTTACACAGTTTGATGTAATTTGATTTAAATGTTCTCCTTGTGTTATTTAAACTGATTTCTGGGGGTTTGTAAGTTGATGAGTTGTCAAAGAGACACTCAGAAGATCCTGAAATCCCAAAACCTTTCTGCTGGTGAAGATTCTCATCCAGGTCATAGTCATTTTAAAAAAGTTAAAAAACAATCCACTGGACTCTGTTTCCATGTTTGAAGATGCTTCGCTTCCTATCCAGGAAGCTTTTTCAATTAAAAATGTCAGAGAAGAAGCCAAACAGACCCCATTCCGATAGCCTCGTGAGACCATCCTGATCTCGCGAGCTTTCAAGATCAGTCTGGCTACTTTCCGTTAAAGAAAATTTGGAGCCGTTCACCAAACGAACGTCCAATCAGCGTTGGCTTTGAGGCGGGTTGAGGTGTGACGCAACGAGAAGCGCGTCAGTTCAGTCTAAAGAACATGGCGGCTTCAACCGATGAAACTAGGGTTAGCGTGGCTATCGAGCAAGTTTTATCGGAATTACAGAGTATTTCTTCATGTTTTTGCTCTTCTCCCGACTGATTTCGGCAAGAGTTTGATCTATCAATTGGCTTGTTCCTGGCTTTTGGTTGTGTTTTCGTCGTCGCTCTGTTAGTACGTCATATGCTTCGTTGATCTGATTGCTTTATTTGGCCCGTCTATCACCAACATAGGCCAATCCGCTAACCAGTATTTTCGCCCCTTCCCAAAATTACTTCAATGGAAGGTTACCAGATGGATATACGGAGCAAATCCATCTAGCAGAGTCAGGTTAGCATTCCGAAGGGTAGGACCCGTTTGTCCGTTTCAATTTGCATGTTTTCTAAAACAGTATAAACTTACTGTATAAGAGACTCGAACTCAACGCTGTTTCTGACATTTTGAATTGAAAAAGCTTCCTGGATGTGAAGCGAAGCGTCTTCAAACTTGGAAACAAAGTCCAGTGGATTGTTTTTTAACTTTTTTGGAATGACCCAAAACTTTTCCCTCACTCGTGCCTCCCTTCAACCCTGAGCTGCCGTTTCCGACTCCTCCATCGTGGAGTTACGCTTATTAACCTCATCAATCAAACAGAGAGCCTGAGCCATGATTTTATGCTGTTGATGTTGGCATTATCTTTGGTCATGTTTTGCTCTTACCTTCCCTTTTCTCTCCCCCCAAAGATGTGATGTAATTTATTCCCCTCTGCCATGTTTTCTAACTGTGTCGTGCTCTGTGACCCTTACATATTTGCTAAACTGACCAGATAGAGAAAAAAAGGCCTGTATTCATGTTCTGATCCCCCATATGCATAACAGTTATTCTGACTCTGAAGGATTCTCTTTGGATGTGAAACAGTTTATTCTTTTTTTATAATAACTATTTTGCCCCCATCAATCTTTCTTTTGTTGTTTATTTGTGATTGTGGGCAGATAAATGACAGGAACTCAGCAAAGTTTGGCTTATTAAGAGTATTTTTTTTTCCTAACAGCTGGTGGTTGCTTTAGAGGAATGTCACTGCCCCTTGTTTTGTTCTGATGTTTTGATGTGAGGAGGGTTTGAAGGATTTCTTAACACTCTTATGGAAAAGTTCTCATACCTCTTGAACTTTTTTCACATTTTTGCATGATAAAAACATAAATCTAAAAGTATTTTATCTATTTCGTTATACCTAAGTATAAATTAGAGATGTGCCAATATAAAAAGCAGGGCCAATATATATAACTGATTTTTTTTTATGTTTTATTTTGAAAGGATATTACATTAAAATATTTTTTCCCAATTATTTAGAGAGAAAAAATAAACAATATGCAATTATATACTGTAAAAAAAAACTTAAAATATTTACCAGGATTTTTTATTAATCAGTATGTTGTGTGATGAGCAGATTGGTTTAAAATATATGCTTTGCAAATAATCCAGTAATAAAAGCATAATTATCTATTAACCCCAAACCATTTTTTCCCCTTTATGCCCTTCTTTTACATTCTCCATTTATCAAAAATGATCAAAAATCCTAAAATTAGTTGATAATTTGGGTTGAAATTGGTTGTCATCGGTGGATTTATTGTCATACAGCTGATGACTTCTGACTGTCACTGGACCCAACAAACACCCGTACCCTACCCTTCCTGAAGCAAGAATATGGAAAGGAACATCAGGGATTTTTTACAGTATTAAAATTGGTGTTAATTATAAGATAATTTATACCTATTATTGGCCTGATTTTACTTATCAGACCAAAACTAAAATCCTGATAGGCCGATACAGGTGTTAATTCAGATGACATAGCTTATCTCTCATAAAAATCTATAGATGATGGAAAAACTTAAACCGTTTTTCACTTTTTCCAAATAAAAATCTGACATTTTTTTATGTTTATTTGTTTTGTATCCTCTTTTGTAGCTGTTGTACCTCTATATGAATTAAAAAAGAACCAACAAAGCAAAACAAACATGGGAACAAAAAGCTTCCAGTAGATTTATTTGTATGTGTTAAATATGCAACAGTCGGCATCAGTGAAAGAAATGCAAATCTCGCTTAATACAGGCAGTACAATGGAAAGCAATGGAAAAAAGTGGTTGTTATAAAGCAATATTTTAGGCTTTATAGAGGGGCTGTTTAATTCTGCTGTAAAATACAACTAATCCAGACAAATTTAGGAAAATTAATGACTCTATAAAACAAGGGCTATAATGGACAGGTTTAGATCAAAGCTTAATTATGTACCACAGTGGCCCAGTCAAAGTCCAGACCTAACTGAAACTCTATCCATACATTCATATATTTTTCTGTCAGCTCACAGAGATCGAGCTCTGTTGCATAGTAGAATGGGAAACCATTTCATTCTGCAGATTTGCAAAGGCGACATTTACCAAAAGAGCTGCAGCTGTAATTTAATATTACCTCAGGGGGACAGCAAATCATTGTAAAGGTTTTCATATTTGTGCTTGAAGAAAAAAAAAAATCAGTGCAAGAATTATACACTTCTTTTTGTCACATAAAAGCCCAATAATTTAGATTTATGTTTTTTTATTGCAATGTGGGAAAAGTTCAAAGTGCATGAAAACTTCAGCAAGGCAATATATACTTTACTCTCTGCAACCTATATTTTTGAAGTGAGCTTTTGAAAATTAAGGGTAAAAAAAACCTTAATCCTCCTTTTTAAAAGCCACAGAAACCACCACGCTGAGAAGGAGGGGGGGAGAAATAGAAAAAGTTTTTTATATATATATAGAATTATATTTGGGACTAGAATAAAGATTTCAGTAAAAAGAGACAATCAAGAGGATATGCCTTTGCATTGTAATGAAGCTTTACACAAGAGAGAAGTAAAGGAAGTAAAGGGGGGAAGTTGTTTATCACTATCCGAGAACAATCTTACACAGCTTTCTTTTTGTAATTTTTTTTTTTCATGCAAAAATCATGCGGCCAATTTGTTGATGTAAGTGACCTGAACCTCGTGGTTTGCTATCTTATTTAACCACTCACAGCAGAAACACCTGAGTGCTAGAGTAGGTAAGAATAGAACGTTAGCATTTTAGGACAGGATTTGTAGTTCAACAAATGTTCCATTTCTTAGTATTGTTTATAGTTTACTGATATATTTTGTTAGTGACACAACACATAGAATAGAGAGGCAGATCAGGATATATTACGTTCTTGTATTTTGTACAGCACACTGCAGTTCAGATGTAGTCAGTACAATGTCTTCATAAATAGACAAGAACAGACAGACATAACAAGCTGATGTATTGATTAATGCTGGTTTTCCTGTTTTCATTTGATCTGTTCTTTTGAACTTAAATTGGTCTCTCTAAGGTAGTCTCTAACGCTCTGTTCCTTCGTTTTCTGTTTCTTGTCCTAGGAGGTGAATTAGTCTTGCCCATTATAACGGTGGACTCCCTAGACCCCCCCTCTATTGCCACACGTTACCCAGTAATTCCCTCGCCCCCCACTACCTACCGTCCTTTCCTCACCCTACTTGAAACCACCAAAGAGTCCGTCCCCGTGTCCAACGGCCGCCCCCCCTGCCCTTTGGACCAAGAGGATTGCGAGGAGACCATAGAGGTTTCGGGTTCGGGGGAGATGACAGAGACAGATGATGAAGACTATTACAAAAACTCCCCTCTGGTCACTGATAGGACTGTCCTCCCCCCTCCCCCGGCAGTCGATAGTGGGGTCCTTAACCCCCGAGACCGTCACTTCTCTCGCTACCCCCCCATTTCCCAACACCCATCGCTTTCCTCTACCCCCACTGCCAACCCCGACCAGCTCGGACCTCGTGTCAAACCGGCTGCTGGCGGCAGCAGCAGTAGTAGCAACAATATCCCTGCAGGCAAAATGAACACCCGGGACCAGGTGCTGCTGCCGCCGGCCCACCCCTCCTCAGATCCAGGCCACCGCAGAATCCCGGGAATAACATACCCGCCAAATTTCCCCCATGTTCCCACTCCAGATCCCACATCTCCAGAGAGAGGCCTCCCCGGCGCCGTAGAGGTGCAGCAGTCCAGCAGCACCACAGGAATGGTGGTAGGCATTGTAGCCGCAGCGGCGCTCTGCATTCTCATCCTGCTCTACGCCATGTACAAGTACCGCAACCGAGACGAGGGCTCCTACCAGGTGGACCAGAGTCGCAACTACATCAGCAACTCGGCCACGCAGAGCAACGGCACCCTGGTGAAGGAAAAACAGCCCGCCACTGCCAAGACTGTCACCAAGAACAAGAAGAACAAAGACAAGGAGTACTATGTGTGAGGAAGCACCACCGTCACACGCAAGGACAGACAGCGGGTGCATGTAGATATGGAAAGAGACGGGAGAAAGACTGAGAGAGAGGGAGAGACATCTAAAACACCAATTGGGTGAGTCAACAAAAAAAATCAGTATTGTGAATTCAAGTTAACGGCCAAACACAGCGGACAGCATCGCACAGAAGCATTCTTCTCATTTTTTAGACCTTAGAAATTAAATTAAAGCAGAATTATCTACACCCAAATTTGAATTATTCTAGAGAAGGTGCCAACAACAAACACAAAGGAAATGCTGGAGATTGTAGGATTTTTTAGCATTTTAAAAGGTAATAAGTCTTCAGCACTTGTAACAAGCATTACCAAAAGTATTTGCTCAATCTTTATCTTTAGCCATTTGAGAAAATGGGTCTTGAACCGAAAAAGTATATGTGAACACTGAAATAGAGCATAAATTAGCAACTAGCAAGCATTTCCCCTAATTTACCACCACCTTGCAGAAATACTTCAGCAGTACCTCGCCTGGGCGTCAACAAGCATCTCTGATCTCAGTGGCGGATCTCTCTCTCTCTATCTCTGATTGGCTAATTCTCTCTTTGTCTCTGCTTGTCTACGTTGCCCTGCTGCTGATGCAACGCGAACTCTGCCATGTTTCAAGCATGTAGTATTCATTTACGAAAAAGAGATCAACAGTTTTTCTTTTTGTGGAGTTAAAAAAAAAAAAAAACGAAAAAAAATAATGACTGATGAACATACCGTTAAACGTAGCAACTGTGTGAGACACCATCAAGCTCCAACATACGGATGCTAACGTGTACGTTTAGCCGCCAAAAACTCAAGGCCAAAGCCACTTGGTCCATCTTCGTTCCAGCAGATATATGTTGTGTGTTTTCGGGACGCCAAGGTGCCCCAAAGTGGGCCAGCAAAGAAACTGTCTTGTTCTTACAGTTACTAATCACAGGAAAAAAACTCCAGCAAACCAGATGAACTGTGTTCTATATATAATTATAAATATATGTATAGACAATGCAGAAACTTATGGACCTATAGCGTGAGCGGGTCTATAAGAAAGTTTGCTGACAGAGCACAAGTAAGATGGAAGGACTTTGGGATTTTTTCCAACAACAACCCATTCCCTAATCTTAACAACCCCGTCCCTTTCACGAACACTATAGCTGATGAAATGCCTCACCGCAAACTTCAGCTACTATCCTTTTTTTTCATCATTTCAGAATAAATGAAAGACATTTTAAGGTAATTCCGATTACTTTTTTTGCTGGAGTTCCAACGTGGAGAGGTCTATTGCAGCAGAAAATATAACAAGACCGCTTTTTGCCCTTCTCCCGCCTGCCTGACTGGACTGATGGCAGCCAAAAGGGCAATACTAACTTTGTGGAAGGAGCGTCCACAAGAACGGCTAGTCCCTGGAAGACGTACAAATGAACTTTAGTATTCCAATTTTCAACTCTATTAAAAAAAGATAAATCAATCGAACCATGAAAAGAAAATTCCTTAAACAAGTTCGTGAAATGTCTAAATATTTGACTCTCATTCCATTACTGAGGCAGACATGTGTTTTCCCTATTATCATTCCTGTTTGGAGAAAAAAAAAGACAATGGTTCTGGGATACTGAAATTTCTATGTATTTTCTTTTGGTAACTAAACAAATGTGATTTGGGTAATAATACATCATTTCCGATTCCCTGGGGTAAAATAAGATCCTCTTTTTTTCCGTTTCTGTCATCCTTTGTGTTTTCCTTCTTCCTTTGTTGTGTCCTGCATCTATTCCTTCTTCAACAAATTGTCCATCTGTCAATCTTTTTTTTATTTGGCAGGTTCCATTGATTTCCCCCCGTCATGTTTGTCTGGATTTTCTCCTCCTTCTCTATTCCAAACAGGCTCCTCCCAGTATCTACCTGTTCTTTCTAAATGTTATTGTAAAGTGTTCCAGTGAGATGACTCTAAATATGTGTACATTAACAGAGGGAATACACTTGGTTATATACTTCTTACTCTGTGTCATGTGTTCTTTATGCTGCTTTTTGACTCAAATTTCTTCTGGAGGTTTTGATCTTTATTATTTTAGTATGAAGTCAGAATTCTGCCTGTAGGGCACACAGCTAATAAATTCTCATATGACTAGTTTTATTCAATAGGCATATATGTAAAATATTCTCCATGCAATTTATTTATTTTTTATGCAAATGGTTCAATGCTCCCCCAATATGTCACAACGATGAGTTGATGCTTTTTCTCTGCACTCATGTTATTTATGCGCCTGTAGATTCCCTTCTTAAAATGTATGGACCACTTTCTGTGCACACTTTTCAAAATTCATCTCCAGAGAGAATAAACTGCCTGTGATTGGCTACTTTTCAGTAAATCCCACCTCTTTAGACAGTACTGTTTTCCTCCTAGCTGCAGCCAGAAACATTGGCAAAGCATCTTCAAGCTCATCATTGTTCTATTAAAGATTTACAAATTATTGAAACAAGGTGATCATTAAATATCTATGAATTAACTAATAATAGTATGATTGATACATCACAAAATCGGTGTAAGCTAAGCTACTCGTTTACAGCTGAACGCAGACTTTGACATTTGTAATCAGTGTGCAGCCGTTGATTTGCACTTTATCATTTATGTAAAACATTTTGTTCAGAAAATTGAGTTGATGAGGAGATAGCTTTTAAATATGGAGTCCATTGAATTCAGTTTATTTATATAGCGCCAATATACAACACATGTCATCTCAAGGTACTTTACAGAGAACATTCAACCAGATCATACAGTCAGACTAGTTAAAACTTTTCTATCTAAGGAAAACCACCTGATTGCATTGAGTTATTGACTTGAAAGCAATCTCTCACACCAAGCATGCTTGTAGTGTCAGTGGAGAGGAAAACTACCTTTTAACAGGAAGAAACCTCCAGCAGAACCAAGCTCAGCGTGAGAGACCATCTGCTGAGGCCGACTGGGATTCAAGAAGAGAAGCAGACATGAGAAAAAGAAGCAGAGACTGTCAATCGGCTCCACAGGCGGCCCCGTCCAGGAAACACACAGCCAGACAGACGATGCTCTAAGCCAGGTCCTATATAAGAGTTTGAAGAGAGCACACAGAAACAGGAATACACTGAAAAACAGGCCAAGCTCCAACATCTATAAACAAAGATGATGATGGCAGGAGCAACGCTAATATTTCTCTCTAGGGTGGCATCACAGCCAAACAGGAACAGCCCAGATGAATGTACTATGATAAGAAAGATCAGAGAGAGCATAAAATTAGAGATTGAACTAACAAATACTGCATAATGGGAGAATAGAGATGGAATGATGAAAAGGGGTCCCTATGTCCTCCAGCAGGCTAAGCCTATAGTAGCACAAAAGCAGAAAATAGCTCAGGATAACCTAAGTGTTTTGGATAAGTAGAAGAGATTAGAGCCACAGTGGAGCCAAGTCAGAATATGGCTGTTGCAGAAAACAATAATAAACCTGAGGATTTATATCTGCCTGTGCCCTATAACCTGCTCTCCAGCAGAGAGAGCTCTCATTGTAGGAGAGAAAGATAAATATAGACATAGCTGACAAATGGAAGTTTGTAAAGCTGAAGATCTAAGTACTAAAGTTTTGTCCTTTTCACAATTACCTAAAGAAGCACTGACATATATGAAATATTTTCTAGCCAAATGATTGATGAGTCAGAGGAGTCATGCCAGTGTGGTGCAACACTAAGCAAACAGTGTAATAATAAAACAGCAGGAGAAAAAACAGACTTTAACAAAGAACAATAGTTTTCTTTATACTGAGTTTATTGGCACTGGAGCTGCATATTTAGGCTGAACTACAGAAAGTTGGAGTAAAACAAATGCCCTTAGCTGTTTAGAAAAACAGTTTACTTGTAAGATGTATGAAAAACAAAAAGGTATTAATCTTTAAAACTTGTTTTTCAACTTTCAAGTTTTAACCTGAAACTGACTTGAGGCCAAATCAACACAAGGAAGAACATTGTACATTTTCATAAACGGCTAATTAAAGACCACACAGCAGCAACGAAGATGGTGTAGCATAAATGCCGGACCCTTTGGTGGCACAAAATCACACCCAAACCGCAACACTTGGCATTTGCAGACAGTTTCTGCAAGGTAAACATAACATTATGACAAAAAAGGTGCGCGGGGGTTACAGTGGTGGTTTGAAAAATCTTTTTTCAATCTTTTTCTATAAAAAAAAAAAAACGGGTGTGGCTCACATGTCAAAAATTATTGTTTATGCTCTCGCTAAATGCCGACTTTGTTTAGAGACAGAGCTTGGCCCACAAAATACATTTTATCTTGCCTCAATGTGAATGGGACCTAAGAGATCCCCATTTTTAATACCTGTCTTCAGTATCAGTCACAAAATCTCTATCAGGACAAACCCCTCTTTCAAACTGCAATACAGATTTGAAATCCTAAACAACTGACAATTGTACGGAGCCCCTCTGATGACATGGTCAAAAAAAATTTTTAATTGTGGCCACGAAGTAGTATTTCGTGCGCACGAAGTAGTATTTCGTGGCCACGCAATAAGTATAAAGTGCGCACGAAATACTTATTAATAATATTAATATCATTCCTGGACAACTGGGTAAGCAAATCGAGCGCGCCTTCTCTAAGGTCTAAGGCGCGCTCGATTTGCTTACCCTGTCGGTCTCCGCCAGTCACGTGACATTTGTTGCTAAGACGCTATTTTAGGTGGAAAAGGCGTAGTGTAAACAACCGCAGCATAGCTAAATGAAGGACTAAAGGCCCGTTTACATAGCAGCCTGTCCAAGATAAGTCATTACAGTTAACATAAGCCTGAAAACAGGGGCGGATTTATTGATATTGTTAATAAATATTTCGTGCGCACGTTAAACTTATTGCCTGGCCACGAAGTAGTATTTCGCGGCCACGCAATAAGTATAACGTGCGCACGAAATACTACTTCAATACTACTTCGTGGCCACAAATAAACTTTTTTTTTTGACCATGTCATCAGAGGGGCTCCGTACAATTGCCTTGGTCTAAATTAAAAATTAAGTGATTTTGGTTTCAGTGTAGATTAAATCAAAATATAATGATCTATCAATTCAAAGTATATGACTTGTACTATTGATCTCTGAAAGGGGTGGTAATTAAATCCAAACATCACGTATTCCATTAACAAATGTTGAAACAGATAAAACACATCACTACAAAGGGTGAAAATACCAGTTGTGAAGCTCTCTGAAATAATAAACTCCAGAAACCAGATTAAGAGTTCAAGAGTTCAGTTGTCTTGAATAATCACTTTTCCCTCCTGACTCGCTGGCTTGCCAATGTCACTCAAAAATCCTTCACTATGTTTTCCAATCAGCATTGAGCAGCTTCACCCCGCCTCCTGCTCCATAGCCCCTCTAAGAGGTTCAGCCTCTCTGGGAGTGACATATTTACGAGGTGTTATCCAATCAGGGCTCTACCTCTTAAAGATTTTCATCTCTATCTTACAAGGAAATATTTCCCTCCACGTGGATGAGCTTTCTTCTGGGACAGCGAAGGATAAGACATCCGAAGGGTAAGAAGGGTCTCTGAATGCTCTGATGTTAAATGTACTTTCTTTAAATTATAGCACGGTTAACACAGCCATTACTGGAACATTACATAAAAGGCAGAGCATTTTGGGAGAAATAGATCATTCCTGCCATGGAGTTGGAGATACTCGTAAAATCAATCCTACTGTTTTTAAACCAAAGAAAGCTTCACCTTCTCTCTGTGACATTTCACTTCTAAAATGTCTGCTAATGGTATTTTTTCACCACAGCCTTTTTTAGATCATTAGTATTCCAGTCCTTTTTAATATGGAGTGGGATTTCTTGTACTATTGTTACAAACACAAACCTCTCAATAAAAAAAAAAAGGTTTGAGTTTTATGAACTACAGTCCAAATTTTGTTTTATATGTCGAATTGTCTTTACTTTTGATGTGGGCTTTCCACTGGATTGGAGAGCAAAGGTGCATTTCTCTTTAACCTTAGTAAGACTTTTTTTTTTGTCATGAGGGAGGCTGTTATGTGGGCCTGGAGTCAAGACAATGTAAAGCACAATTTGAAAAGAATGCAATTCAGAAAACTCAGTTTGCAAAAAAAAGAGTCATTTAAAAAGTTAAGGTGAAAATATAAAATCTGCTAAAGAAAATTTCAAAATAAAATCAAATATGAAAAAAGTACAAATATATATAGATTTTTTTTTTTTTAAGAAAACAGCAGCGGGGAAATCTTCGGCGGGGAAGTGGTTAGTGCACACGACCCATGTACGGAGGCCTTAGTCCTCAATGCAGCCAAACCTGGTTTCAAATCGGGCCTGTGGTCCTTTGTAGCATGTTTCTCCCCCTTTCCTGTTAGCCTACTGTACAAAAAACGAGTCAGTATACACCTATAAAACAGCAAAGTTTCTCTCCAAATCTGTTAGTTTTATTAGATTTATGGATTGCATTTTCCTTTTCCAAAAAGGTTCCTTTGCTTCAATTTCACGGCATACCTTTTCAGTACTCTGTCATGAACTCTGGGTCATGACCGAAAGAACGAGATCGCGAATACAAGCGGCTGAAATGGGTTTCCTCCGTAGGGTGGCTGGGCTCTCCCTTAGAGATAGGGTGAGAAGCTCGGTCATCCGGGAGGGACTCGGACTAGAGCCGCTGCTCCTCCACGTCGAGAGGAGCCAGTTGAGGTGGCTCGGGCATCTGGTTAGGATGTTCCGGGCACGTCCCACCGGGGGGAGGCCCCGGGGAAGACCCAGGACACGCTGGAGAGACTATGTTTCTCGGCTGGCCTGGAAACGCCTTGGGGTTCCTCTTGAGGGGCTAGAAGAAGTGGCTGGGGAGAGGGAAGTCCCTTCTTAGGCTGCTGCCCCCCCGACACGACCCCGGATAAGCGGAGGAAGATGGATGGATGGACTTTTTGGGTATTGGGTTAGTTGTTTACGGTCAACATTGAGTCAGTGTCTTTTAATCAAAGT